GGGGGATGCGGCGCGGCTCCCGCCTGCGCCCTGCCTCCGGCGGGAAGCTGCGCCGCCCCTGGCGGGAAGGGCAGGAGGAGAGGAGCGAGGATTCCCCTGCCACGGAGGAGAGCGGTCCCTGCGCAGCTGCACTCGGCTGAGCTCCCCGAACAGCGGGGGGATACTGGCTGCGGTGAGGGGGTGCCCACGGTGGGTACCCACGGTGGGTACCCCGCAGCGTAGACCCCCACCTCGGTCAGCATCTGGCCTCCCACAGCACCCGGGCTAGAGGGGGGGCGGCTCCCAGGGCGCACCTCCACCCCTCGCTTCGAGCCCCGGCTGTGGGGAGGTTTTCCCCCAGGAGCAGGGGTTCCTCCTGCACACATAAGTGACAGCACAGGGAAGGCGCTGGGAGCAGAGGCCCATCGCACACCCCATGGAGGCACCCCTCGCCTCCACGGCTGTGCCTATTTATAGCTCACACCAGCGAGGTTGCATAAAGCCCTGCCGGGGATCTGGGCCATCTTGTTCTGCCTGGCTGCAGGAGCACCGGGCGAGGGATGAGCCCGCTGCTCCACACTCGTCACCCTCCGCACACCGGGGACCCTCAGCTTACACCAGGGTTGCAGGAGAGGGAGGGGAAAGGAGCCCGACCCGCGTGTTTGCTCCCCACAGCAGGGAAGGGAGCAGGGCAGGGAGGGCGAGAGGGGGTGTTGCAGTCGCACTGTACCTCACAGGTCAGCTGTGGTTAAGCCCACGGCAGGACGGTGCTGCCCTCGGGCCAGTCCAGCTGTCATCCAAGCCATCAGTAACAGCCTTACACCAGGGTCCTGCTCAGCTGCCCCCACCAGCGAGGGAGGAGAGTATCAAGCGGGAGCATCCCCCCAGAGCTGCTGCCAGCCCCTCCGAGGTGCTGTACCCAGAGCATCAGCACGCTCCCAGTTGCCTGGGGAGCACAGCACAGATCAGCCCGATGCACAAGGTCCCCACGAGGAGGGGACAGAGGGACAGCAGTCAGCCTGTGCCTGGGGACAGCCACAACCCCAGGTGACAGCAGGGCCCTTCCGCGCTCCTGGGAAAGGAGCAGCCCCCTTCCTCCAGAGCCCAGGCCTTGTGCAGCTGCTTTATCCCTGTGCGCCTCGGAGCACAAGCAGGGAGAAGGGAAGCAAGTTTTACTCCCTGAAGAAAGGTCCATCAGCTAAATTCAGCAAGAGAAGCCAGCTGTGCTCCTGGAAGAGACCAGCGACATTCCGCTTCTGGGAGGCTGCAGCCTCCCTCCAGGTCTGTATTTAGGACAGGCAGCTGCCAGGTCAGGCCAGCCACCGTCCCACTGCCCATGCAAGTCCCACACCAAGCTTGAGTGCCTGCCAGCAGCCTCGGGTACCAGGAGAGAGCTGCTGCATTCCAGCACTGATCTGCAGTTGCCTCCTTAGTCAATAGATGACACTGCAGGTTTTGAAGGGTTGGAGGGGATGCCCTCACCGAGGTCTGGCTGGTCTCACAGTCAGCAGCAGTGTTACACTTCAGGCTCGAGCAGCTGTCTGGAGCATGCACGGCTGCAGGCAGAAGGGTCTCCCCGCTCCCCAGGAGGGGTAGTCAGACCAACTGCCTCTCAGCAAGGGCACGGCTCTGCCCTCAGCACTGACCTGCGAGGCAAATTGCTCAACTGATAAGGAGCATTACCTCAAAGGTAAACCACCAGTGGCATTCCCGTAGGCAGGTATTGAATGGCAGGTGAGGGCAGAGGGAAGGCAGCGAGCCTCTGGCTGCCCAGCAGAAGGAAGGCAGCAGGGTGACACACCGTGCTGGTCCAGCTGGAGCCCTCGCCTCTTGGTCAGAGGGGCTGGCAGCATCTTACCTCACAGGTTGAGACTGCCGGGAGCTGCGATGCTGGAGCATCCCCGAGTGAGCTCCCATGGGTGCTGCCAGCCACAAGGGCCAGGCTCTGGAGAGAAACGCAAGCCCCGAGGACTTCCAAGGGCCAGTGACTCCAGTCTCATCACCCAGACAAACACAGCCAGTCCCAGAGCTGCAGGAGTCTCCACAGCCGGTGGAGACTCTGCTGCACACGGCAAGATGCACAGCAGCCTCCTACAGCAGACAGCTTCAGTTCCAGGTCTGTGCTTATCTCACCTTCAGGTGCCCAAGAGGAGGCAGGGGAAGAGCCCTGCAGTCCCCCTGCCCTCTCCTCGAGGGAAGCAAAGACCAACAGACACCCTTTCAGGCTCACATGACCTCTGGGAAGGCTCTACTCAGCCAAGTCCTTCACGTTTTATGAGCTCAACTGCTCTGGTGCTATGAAGCATTCAGAAGAGCCAGGACCAGCAACACTGCTCCAAAAAGCCACAAGACCTGTCTCTGGAGCTGCAGGCTTGAAGGTGACAAAGTCCTTTCCAGTTTTCTAATAAAGACAAAGACTTCCACTCTCCTGGTCACAACGATGTTCAGATGTGAAGTTTAGGCAGTGATAAAGGCCAAGCACTTTACGCTTGGCAAGACAGACAGAATTTCCTTTGGTCCACCTTGCAACAGCCCAGCTGGTCTGTCACATGGCTGGCAGAGGAAGTTCAGAACCCAGCTGGAGCTCAGTGTCAAGGGCACTACATGTGCCACCAGCTCCTAGTTATAGCTGCAGGCATCACCCCGCCAGCCTGGGCAGAGCCACACAACAGCTAGGGTGGCTGCAGAGCTACTCAGCCCCAGGCGTGCAGTGCAGCAGCCCAACCTGTCCCTGTTCCCTGCCCCAGGGCACCCCCAACTGTTTAATACTAGTTTCTGCTTTTTGTTCTGGACAGCATGTTTGGTAGGGCGGAAGGCAGCAATACTGCCCTATAGAGACCAACCCAGCAGCTCCAGTCCTGACCTACACCTTCCAGAGCCCAGCAGAGGCCTTGCCAGCACCCAACTCTGACCGCACTGGAAGTTATCTAAGCTTCCCACAACCCTTCCTCCCCAAAACCCAAGTAGGGAGCAACTCTCGCTCGCACACCAGACACCAGGACAGCAAACTGGGAGATGTCCAACAAAGGGAGAGGGTGTCAGAGTTAAGAAACAGCCCCGTATCTCCAGGCCTCCTCCCTCCCCATCAGGATCAGCTTTTCCCATCTGACATCCAGAAGCCCATCTCTGCCTACTTGCCTGCAAGGTCACCCAGAGGGTCCTGGGGCAGCCCATCGGGTGGGGAAAGCACCTCCAGCGCTGAAGGAAGGTCCTGGGCCCAGCCTCACTCCTCCTCTGCTGCTCCCAGCCCAGAGGCAGCTCAGGCTTCCTGGCACTGGTGACAGATCGACATGGCAATGTGGCATCCCCAGAGCAGGGAGGAGAGCCGGAGAAGGGTTTTATCTGCTCCCAAGGGTAGGAAGAGACTATTTGTCTGAGTGGAGAGCAAGCAAGACCACTGCTAGGCCAGATCTGGTGTTTTACTAGTCCTTCCCTGCTTGGAGAAGACTGAGCCCAGACACTAAGCTACCACCAGAGAGCCTGCTCCCAGATTCAGGTTTGGTGAGGTGACAAGACACAGCACATTCGACAGCATTCAACAGGGAACCACTTTAATCAGATATTAGGTTTGCACCGTTCTTTTCAGTATCACAAGTTCTGCATTTTTTCTAAGAAATACAAAGCACTCTCGGGTGGTACAGAACGCTGGTCCTGGAGAAAACAAGAGGGAGAGAACAAGACACTCGGATACAGACACGTCAACCACCACGCTGGGCAGCGGAAAGGAAACCCCTCATCCCCACCTCGCCAACGGTAACAGTCACTTTACAGGGGGTCCGTGCCGCAGCAGCAGGGCTGTGGCCAGGTGCCCCCCACCCAAGGTCAGAGTACCCCAGAGTAACCACGGGACACGTCCGCACCCCCATTAGCACAACACTAATGAACACACCGCTTCCATGTTCCACAACGGAGTGAAAAACCCCTTCATAAAACCAGTTGACAAGCATCCAGGTTCATCTACTCTAGATAATAATAAACTCAGAGCCAGGGTAAGTTACTTCATCCACAAGATTAACAGCTGATTCAATAGGTTGAACACATGCTACTTACAGCACATAAATGGAAGTTGTTTGGTTTTTTTTTTTTAACTTGAAAAACATGTTATGAAGGTCTACAGTCCAATTGCCTAGACACTGCCGCATGCACACGACTATCGGCCTCCACAGAAGCAGGCTGCTCTGGGCAGCGAGGAAAGCTGTCTCTGCATCAGCTATTCCAGGTGTCACGGGACAGCTAGCCTGCCCCCATGCTTGCACATTATCCACACAGCCATTAAATAAATACAGTACTAGCAAAGAGTGGGTTTTAATACAAACTCCAGGGTTGTTTTTAAAAAGAAATATTAATCCATAGAGGGTTACAGTTAACAGATATCATCATCACTTTATTTCTTAGAACCAGAAATAGTGTTGAACAAACAACCAACCACCAACAAAAAAAAAAAAAAGACATGGCATGTCATTTCCAGAAGTGCAACCAGGGTACAGGGTAGCTCTCAGTGACACGAAGGGCTTCTGCAGCCGGGAGAGGAGGGGAGCCACGGCAGAAGATGGCAGCTCCCACTCCCGGCAGGCGCCTGACCTTGCGACGCTCTCCGAGGGGATTTGTCACCGCACCCTCCACCCCACCCCACTAGCAGGACCCATGGCATGTGGGACCACCGAGTCCCCCAGTGCCCACCGAGCCAGGGAGCTGCGGGAAGGTGACTTTGCAGGGAGGTACCCCAAAATAAGAGACCTTAAAATAAATAGGACCAGAGCTTCTTTACAGTAGGCAATGCACTAGCTTTACCATGAAGAAAACTAAGACTAACAGTCACTTCTTGCCAACGGAGAAACTTTTCCTCCTTTTCACATTTTCCAGCCCCCTGCCCTCCCTGCTGCAGTGCACCCAGGATGGCATCGCTGGAGGGAAGCAGCAGCAGCCAGTCCCATCCTCACGCCAGGATGAGCAGGGCTGGTGGGGGGGGCCCTGCACAGCCCCAGGGCTGGCGGAGGGGAGAGGCAGCCGGGGTGCCTGTGTCCATCCCCATGCCAGCCAAAGCAATCCTCAGCAGCTACCAGCAGCTTTGCACCATGACCCAACCATACGGCTCCAGATGCCACCACTGCCAACAGCTGTGATCCAGCTGCCTCCTCCAAAAACACTTCTTCCAGAGAGAAGAGGGGCAGGGTGGGTGCAAAAGCAGGGCCTGACCTCACCTGTGCTCCCCCAGCACCCCACCACAGCCCAGGCTAGGGGGCTAGTGGAGGGCTGGCAGGATGCTGCCAGGGCTCACCACCCAGCCCGGGCTGGGGGGGCAGGAAGGAGACCCCCAGCCCCACTGGGAGGGGAAGTGGGGCAATGGTGAGGAGGGGGGCCGGGAGGGGGGCCGGGGGCAGCGCTCACTTCTTGGAGCTCTGCGTCTTCTTGGGCAGCAGCACGGCCTGGATGTTGGGCAGGACGCCGCCCTGGGCGATGGTCACGCCGCCCAGCAGCTTGTTGAGCTCCTCGTCGTTGCGGATGGCGAGCTGCAGGTGCCGCGGGATGATGCGCGTCTTCTTGTTGTCGCGGGCCGCGTTGCCCGCCAGCTCCAGGATCTCGGCCGTCAGGTACTCCAGCACGGCCGCCAGGTACACCGGGGCGCCGGCGCCCACCCGCTCCGCGTAGTTGCCCTTGCGCAGCAGCCGGTGCACGCGGCCCACGGGGAACTGCAGCCCGGCCCGCGACGAGCGCGACTTGGCCTTGGCCCGCGCCTTGCCGCCGGACTTCCCCCGGCCCGACATAGCCGGCAGG